CCCAGTCGGACTTCAAATGCCTTTCCCGTTCCCATTTCACACGGGGCAACAATTTTGACAAGTTGGGGGTGTATTGACCTTTGCTAATGAAGAAAACTAAAAATACTTACATTTCTAGATTTATACAAATAGGGAAGCTTTTAATTATTGGGTACATTTATATATTTATAAAAATATTAATAAAATTTTAATTACCTACATAGTTTCTTTTAATTGGAAAACATAATTAGTGACATAAAAAGTTAACGTAATGAACATTTAGTGCACTATTAAAATATATGAGAACATTTATTTAAATACCTACAGTATGTTTTTTTTTTTCTTGTATTAAATAAATTTATCTTTCGGCCAATCAGAGCAAGCCGGCCGCCGTGGCACGCGGGTGCGGATTTGCGGTACGCGCTGTCGACAGATGGCGCTGTTTATACGACGCCGGAGTCGGACGGACGCGATAGAAGACGCGACGCGGTAGAGAAGGGTCGCCACCGCCGATGTTGGCGTCATTATGAAAATGTCAAAACTACAGCTGCGCTTCTTTGGACACAACTCTACACACACCATGGTGGCAGAGGAGAACTTCGAGGATGGAAAGATGCAGTTCAGCGATCGGAGGGCACCCAGGAAAGAACGGACGGAAGAGAAAACCGCCGCGGAGAGCACAATGGCGAAAATGGCGGGAGGTCTACCTCGACAATGTTCGACTGTTGTGACAGAGGCAATTGGAAATGTTGGATTACAGGGTGGGAGCGCTACCGTATCCTATCAGGACTTCACCTGCGCGACGCGGGAACACGGGTGAGCACCTTTCTGCACGCGATGGGGAGACAAGCTGAGGACGCCTTCACTAACAGACGCCAGCTGCCGGTCTTACTTCATCTCACGAATACTACCTCTGAAAAAGCGATTCAATCGTCGCAAGCAAGTGGCTAAACCCGGAGCGTGTACCTCACCGAGCCTATTATTTAGTTTTATTCTCCAAGTTTTTGACAATAAAGACTTGTCAACCTTCCATTTTGTGCCGTGTTTCATTATTGCTGGAGTTGGCACCACCGGTAACTGGGACCAACTCCAACTGGGACCATTTCTAACTGGGACCGATTCCAGCTAGGCCAAACTCCAACTGGAACCAGTTGGACAACTCCAACTTTGACCGGTTGTAACTGGGATTTGTTCCATAAACCAGTTGCAACTGGGACCAGTTGGTCCCAGTTGAAAATTGTCGCCTGGGTAGGGCGCGCCACTTATCATGTGGCAAGCCATCTTGTCGCAAGCGACACTTAAAAGCATGGCATCACAAAACTTTAAAGATCTCACTCGACGCTTCGATCGATCATGACACCGCCTTGGTTGCACTTCCTGAGTGATAACTTCTCTGCGAAAGGTACGGTGAGGTGCGCGAAAAGATGAAGTTTAATTTTGCGCGACTAGGTGCTGATGAGGATCATATAAGTCACGTAATTTTACCGCAGCTGTGCGAAAGCACAGCTGCGGTAAAATTTTATTTTATCATTGCTGGCGCAATCATAAAATTCTATGCCCACTGACACCAACTTGGCAACAGGAGCTGAAAGCCACACTAGCTTTTCTATGCTACCGGGAGAGGAGCCCTCACGGTTTCGAAAGCTTCCCCAACTCCGACGATACCGCCACGCCTCGAAGCGCTATCAGTCCGCTGACGTCTCGCCATCTGCCGTGAAGCGATGAGCGAACGCTCTCTGTCGGTCGCGGCGACCACATTATGTTCGGCGCACCGAGCGCGCTTCACTCCCACGGGGATAGATGGCGCCCAAGTACAGAGGGGCTTGTGAAGGCTTGTATAAAGGGCTTGTGAAGGAAATTATGCATTTTTTACTCGGTCCCTGTGTACTTCCTTGTGAAATGATGTATGTATGTTGGCGCATTGGAACTGACTGCCTTTTCGCCAGTGCGGTTGCTGGTTTTTAAATGAAAACATTCCGATGATGACTCAACGTGAAAGAAATACTCGTATAAATACAAAACTTCCCGACACAATCTACTGGGCTTTCAATAATTCAGAGTAACTTAAAATAATTCTGTTAAACAGCTGGGTCGTATTCGCATGTTTTTCCCGACAGCATGTTTGGTGACAGTTCCGTAAATTGTTTACACACATTTCGTGGCTTTATAGGAGGTCGGGGGATTTTTTCCATCGTTGTCCTGCCTTCTTATTGACAACAAATAAATTATAATAATGTTACATAGTGGGGCCTAAATAATCATTTACATTCGCAAAAGGGTATTCGCATTACAACTGATTTTTTTTTTTACATTTGATGTCAACTGGTACTCCGGTACATACAAATCATGGAAGCAAAAAACAGTTTTATTTATGGTGACATTGTGACTGAAATGATGACACGGTATGATGACAAACTGACTGAAAGGATGATACAGTGACTGAAAGTCAAAGTAGTAGCGGGTATGGGACATAAATCAATTTTGATCTATACACTCACAATATAGGGTAACCCGGTCTTACAGGCACTACAGGTATTACAGGTAATATGTAAGGTACTTCGGGCAGCCAGGGAAAATGCTTGGAACAGCGTCTACAGACACACAGGCTTCTTTGCAGCGTGGAGGAGAACTCTCCCACCGAACTCCGCATGATACCATTTCGATATCAGTTCGTCGGGGAAACGCTTGGCACAAACATGATCACTACGTAGTAACTTGCGATCGCCTCGGAATTGCACGACGCCACTGCTGAATGCGAGCGTCATTCGACTGAGCTTTAAACAAGGACACTCGCCCTGCAGTGGTCCGCTACACCGAATTGCAGTTGGGAACGAAGCACGTCTTTCCCAGCCTTATAGCATAACCTCTTCTTCTTCGGGTAACGCTCACCTTCATGGACCATGGTCGCACCTGTGATCGACACAGCACCAAAGGAAAACACGAGGCCAGCCACTCGCCGCTCACCAACACACCGCAAAAAAGGTGAGCACGCTACGCCGCTGACACCGTGGCCGCCGAGGAGAGACTTCGTAACCACGGTGCTCATAGCTCAGCGCCTTCCGCGACGGCGCGCAATTAACTACTCCTGGTTCGAGGCTAGCTCCGAACACGATCTGGTCCCTCGCTCCCCACGCGAAGAGCGGTGAGAGTCATCAGGTAAATGTATTTCTTCCACCGTGACCCAAATGAACCCTGAACCCCGCGGAGTAGCTGCGAAGCGACAGTCTCCTTGTCTACTAAGATGGCCCGGGAGCTCACGTGGCCAACCCAACCAAGATAATACCAGTTCTCATAGCGACTCATCATGGCCCTGGTCCTCACACTCGCGTCCTCACGCAGACTAGTGAAATCGTTGGACTTATATCCACAGTAAGACCCACGTCATGATTGAGGCTCATGCTCATGAGTCTCAAAACTCACAACCACATTTAAGAGAACTCAAAACTCACACTCATGAGCCCTTCACTTAGACCTCAAGCTCACACTCACACTCATGAGTCCTCAGAACTCACGCTCATCAGTTTTAAGAACTCACTCAAAAACTCAGGAGTTCTCAGCACTCAAACCCACACTCAAGAGTTTTCAGAACTCACGATCAGATTCACGATCAGACTCACGCTCATGAGTTCTCAGAACTCACACTCACACTCATGACTTCTCAGAACTCACGATCACACTCACACTCATGAGTTCTCAGAACTTCCTATCAGACTCACTCTCACACTTATGAGTCCTCAGAACTCACTGTCACACTCACACTCACAATTTTTCGAGACTCGCAGCCTCATTCACGATCACCTCAAATCTGACGGTGAGCGTGAGTGATCGTGAGTGATCGCAATCATGAGTGAGAATGTCGAGGTTTGGTCATGAAAGACAAGCAATTGTTGTAGCGTTTTTCTTTTATTTTTAATTTTTTTTTCACATCAGAAAACCTGGAATTTAGACATTAATACGGCGCTATCCTTTAATGAATTTGCATCAATTTTAATGTTAAACTTTTGTATTTGGTAGTTTTCTAACTTAGAAAAAAGACGAACTGCTGCCGTCGTGCACTTGCGAAATTTTTAGGTGCAGAGGAAGCTGTGATTATACAAACCAGTAGTTGAATCTGCAGTCTGATAACAATGTCCGACATATTTTTTTTTTAAATACCATACTCACTGTAGGCTTTGAGAAAAGGGAGAGCGCTTTGCGCTAATGTTGAGACTAAAAGATTTGTCTGATGGGCATTTTATAAATTGCGATTAAAGCTACGGCACTTACGTTGCTAATGCGTCATTCGACAGTCTGTGGTGTACTCCTTCCATGTGTGGCATCCTGTCTCCTTGGGCAGACAAAAACTGTCTTTAGACATGCTGGAAGCACGCATATGTGTATCAGGCAAATGTGCTTCGAACATGCTTGAGACCTGTCCGAGGGTTATCCTGTCATTACTCTTTGCAGCAAGCACCGCGTCTCTCCTACGACGCTCAAGCAGTGTGCAGGTGTCGCTTGTGGGTGTACGTGCCACTTGGGACATCTTTGTGACAGGAATTTAAACTATTGTGAAATCGTGTATCCGTAAACGTATTGCTTTGGGATATTACCGATCGTTGAACAAATATACAAGTTGCTCCAAAAATGAAAACGAATTTTACAGTCAAAGCATACCGAAATGTCGTCGTAACTTAGGACGCTTTTGTGTTCCTTCTTTTTTTTTTCCGCGAATTGTATTCGATCATAGTGAGGCAAACTGTTTTAGTTAGTTGCTGTGGCTGCCCCGAAACCTAGTGATACTTCTATGGCATGGAGATTCTCGATTACATTCGGGGGAATTCGAGCTTCTTTCTCTTTCTGCTGCTGCTCCCTACTTATAGCTCAGCTTCGAGCTTTGTAAATTCAGTGCTGAACTAATGAAAAGGGCGGTCGGTGGCATGCTTCAATAAGCGCGCCATGATATCGAGGTCATTAGTGGATGCCTCGAATGGCCATTTTTGAGCTTATGTAAATAAAAATTAAGGCACACGAACGGCCACACAAGCGTTTGAATATATACCTTTATTTTGAATATAAATAACTAAAAATATCTTTAAAGTTGCTCTGTACTTGTTGCTTGTCGAAATCGATGTTATTGTACTGTGTATTGGTCCGTCGTTCTGTTCTCGTTGTAAAAGGATATTCCAGTCATTGATTTTTTTGTACCATGATTAAGGTATGACTCTTTTTTTATTATAACCAGGCTCGGAGGTCGGTTTGAGGTATTTGCTGGCAATTCGTCACGGGGTTTCTGTAAAAAAAAAAGTGGAAAGAAAGAAAGAAAAACAAGCAAGAACGATTAGGATAGAAAACTGGATGGAAATATAACAAAAAGTGCTTATGAGAATGCTAGGTAAAACACATGGACCGCGAAAGACATCAGTGCAGACACCACCGCCACCACAGCGGTGTGACCTTAAAGCCGCGTGTTCCTGTCAGAAGCGTCGGAACTCTTCAGGAGTTGGGGGGGGGGGGGGGGACGACTGCGAATGGGGGGGAGTGACTGAGGGGCGAATGACGACCATGTTGAACTCGTGATAGTATCACTAAAATCCCAGGCGGCAGCTTTCTTGGACAAGGATATTTTAAAGCTTGTGCCACCTTATAACAACTGCCTAAGTCTAAGGTGTGACTGGGTGACAAGTAGCTAAAGCTGCTACCTACATTCTGTGTATGTTCCAAAAATTATTTTTAGTTATTCAATCCCAAGGTTTGAGGATTTATGCAGTTACCTTCTTTGAGCAAGGAATCCAAAACTATGTACGACCTCATGATAATGACCTAAATCTGAGCGGTGATTATGGGGAAGAGTAGCTAGAGTATATGCCTACATGTTGTGTATATTAAAACATATTTATCTATCTGATTTTTTACCCAGTTCATGGGTGTTTGGAACAATGGTCTTTAAACAATCTTCTATTATACAATTATCTCGGGTATATATATAAATACTTACGCAGATCCCGGTGGCAGGAAAGCATTTTTCTGGATGGAGTAGATGGCGTCGCTGTTGTCGCAGAGGATCCTTGAAAATGTCGTTTTTCGGATTTCATTGAGCTGGGCTGTAGCGTGACCAGAAAACAAAAGAAAAAGCATTAGTTTACTTTTTTTTAAGAATTTTGTTTCGGCAACTTGTAGTTTAATTCTTCCTAATATTCCTATACACCGTAAAAGTCGACGGCTGTGCTCTATCATAAAATGTATTAGGCTTTAAAATGAAAAACTATATTTGGACTGCTCAGAAACATCCTTCCCCCCCCCCCCCCCCTTCAAAAAAGAAGTAATTATTTACGCAAGATTATCCGTCGCAAGACCACCAGAGCACCTTCAGCGGCCCATCTGCATTCACTTTTACCCAAATATATTCCAGGTGGTCGATCCTGGGGTGAGTCTGAACTTGAGGGTGTGCGGAGTGCGTATGCCATTGTTCGTACCACAAAATGGAGTGTGAACCAAGTACTACCGCTGCTCCAAGAAGGCAGAAAAAAATTATAGGAAGATCCATTAGTGGATCCTTAGAAAATGCGTTAGCATGATCTTTGGGAAACGCAACACACACCCCTTTGGGAAACGCTAACATTGGCCCCATCATGTAACGAAGCCAAAAAGAAGTAGAAAGAAAGAGAGGAAGCAAAAGAGAAAGTCAAAAGGGAAAGACACAGCAGAAAAAGAAAGGGGTCAGTGCTAAGCTCTGAATATTTCTTCAAGAACGACTGTTTTCGGTGCTTTTTTTCCCTTAGTCATCAGACAATGGAAATAACTTGATCAACCAATCACCAGCAGCGCCACATTAACACAGTTCGATTCCTACCACATATAGATGCTTTGTCACATAAAGATAAGCGATGTAGAAATACTTTTTTTTTCTATTGCATAACCTGGGCTGGGCCGCTACTTTTTATTGTACGTTTGTTATAGATTTAAATTCTAATTTTGTTCATGGCATATATATGTATGTTGTGACTTCGAAGTACCAATTATGACGTATGCCATTTTCTTGTATTGTGCGTGCTTTCCGGCTAGAGTCCTTCTAGAATTGAGCAGTATTTGCAAATACATAAGTATCAAAATATTTTTTTAAATTAGAAAACGACAACCACAAACAGCGTTCCCAGAGGTATGAAGCACATGTGACCAGCCTAAAAGTTCCGCTGAATTAGCTCAACGTCGAGAATCCCCTCAATCGCATTGCCCGGAAGTTGAACTCCTTGTTTTTACGCCTGACAAAAACCCACGGTCGTTCCAGTGGGACGCTGCCCTATTGTCACTGACCGATGAAAGTGGCAGGAGGCTCGTCTCTTTTCGAGCGCCTCAGCATAGCCTCCTATATACTGACAAAGCCTGGCAGATTGCAACGAGAAGCGGGCGCCGAAATGGAAAAGGTGGAACGGCAGACAACGAATGAAAGGAGAGCCACGTGAGTGGCGCCCCGCTACGGCGAGACGCCGAAAGGCACAGCTCCCGAGCGAACATGTGTGTTTCGGGTCCTTGGCGTTGCAAAAGGTGTGCGCTGACTTCCAGGTTCCCCTAGAGTATACACTTACTCTAGGTTCCCCGAGGAATTGCTCTTTGATGCTTTGTGCTACCAGATCCTCGAGCTCCAAAATCTGCGACCGGGCTCTCTATGGCTCCGTCGTAGAACTGCGAGGCTTTGTGAGTATAAAGGAGGCTATGGCCTGAGGCTCACGAAACGCCGAAGCGTTATCGAAGGTGGGGAGGCTCGCATTGGAGGGCTCTGACGTCCCGTAGCTGCGGTGGTGCTGCTGTCGATGCTGCGCATGCGCAGACATGTCGCTTGACGAGGATCTGGTTTCTGAGCGGGTGCAGTGCCCACACCGTATACACGTGGTGTGGGAAAAAGGCGGACTTGTTTGTTCTACAGTGCGTATTGGTCTATAGCAATGGTTCAGAAAACAAACGTTACTGGAAGTGAAGGAGCCGGCCTGTCCTCCGTGCTCGTAGTAGAACCTGTCTCCCAACTTCATCCTCTGGAACATGGTTCCCAGGATGCAGCCAAACGTTGGGCCCACGATGCCGCCGCTCACGTGCTTTTCAGAAATCCCCGCTGTGAAGAGGTCGATGTCTCGCACGTCCCTAAAGAGCACAAAAAAATGAACCCAAAAAAACATGGGTCACAGGGGATTGTATGCAATGATAAACTGCCGCAGACAGCAAGGTGACCTTAATATTGGAAATTATAAGAAATTGCAAAACCATATAAAAGGAATACGAGTGATAGAATATAGAACTGCAACTCTCAATCCTAAACAAAAATTATGTCATTAATTAATTTATTTATACTGTCCATCTTACACGGATATTATAGGGATAAAATTCAAAGTACAGAAGAATAAATAATTGAATATATTAATAAAAACAAAACCTACGATTTAACACACAGCTAAACCAACTATGCATTCACCTATAGAAAACTTCTACACCATAAGACGGAGAAAAATAACAGAAAAACAGAAAACTAAACACTAAATTGCTTCCATGGATACAATACATTAAGATTTCACGGTCACTTTGCGGTGATTCATTCAATGAAGACAGACATTATTTTAATGCACTTAAAACATTCACTCAGTTTTGTGGACTAAGCTATGCAAGTGATGATGATGTGTTATCTTTTTGTCCTACTGAATGATTAAATTTACACCCTAAAACAATTGGACCACATCTAACAAGGAGTGATAATTGAATGCTTGGGAGAAGAGCGTGTTGGTTTAAGTCATGGATGAAGAAAGAATTAAACAATTAAAACAGGGACAGCACAACCACATCTTTCATTGTGGTTGTGGTTGTGGTTGTGTTGTCCCTGTTTTAATTGTTTTATTCTTCCTTCATCCATGATTATTGAAGGTTGGCTACACATTAGTCCCTAATATTATTTCAAAGCTATAAACAACCTACGTGCTGTAGATAGATAAATAACCTTGGTCGAGCACTTACTTATATATTGTCTTGTACTTGTCAACAACGTCCTTGGGAATGTAGGTGAGCAGGTCATCAAACGTTTTGATCTGGACGTTTTTGCATGAATTGAGATAGTCCACGTAAGGCCTGATGCCGTGTTCTCGGGCCCGTTGGATGTTCAGTGCTACCAGATCCAGACCGAAGGTCTCGTTTCGTAGCCGGTACAGGTGATGCGTAACTCCGTCAGTCACGAATCTGTGATCAACGAGGGTGTGAATACGTTGTTATATCACAAATGTGATGAACATCGCTCAGAAATGTAACAGTCGCAACAGTGTCATTTAGTACGGATTTCTCTTTGAAAAAGTTCTTACTTGTCGAATTCCTGCGCTTTCTGCTGCAAAAGCCCACGAAGCACATAGTCAAGATCTCCATTGTAGAAGTTGAAGGGGAAGAAGTAGTTTTCTTCGAGCTCGAAGGATCCTTGATTCCCGTTGGAGTTCACGCTGAAACATTTATGCATATCATGTAGGAAACGGCACTCATTGGAGATCCTGCAATGTAGGATGCCTTAAGCTTATAAATGTTAATTATACACCGGACAATTTTGCGAAATATAGTTATTACGTTTCAGCTTAAAACATCCTACTTTCTTATCCGCAACTCGAAGTTACTTTACTTGAAAGATACATTAGAAAGAACATTCCTTCACATGAAGCACAGGTACAAAACAATCTGATATAGTAAAACTGGTATTATGGTTGAGGCGTCACTAAGTGAGGCAACCTAAAAGTTTGTAATAAGAACGAAATTTTCCCATTATTCCAACCTCATCAAAACGTAAATATGGCTTGAAGCCTGAACGTGAATTTTCTTTCCACTAGCTATTGATTCTTAATATAGTGTCTCTTGTTTAAACTAAAATTGCAGTCTATGAGACACTAGAAGGTATGGCTTGCATGCTTAGTCGATCGTGATAGTTAGAGTTTAGAATCTCATAAGATAGATTGAATACGCGCGATTTCGTTAATAAAGCTGTATGTAATTCAATCACGTTTAAAGGACTCATAATACCATATTGGCCAGCCCGCGAGCCAGCATTGATGAAAAGCAAAAACACAGCACTCAAATAATAACTCGGCGAGTCTGGATCTATATAGTATTGTATATCTATTAGGAAAGCAAAGAAAAAAAATTATACTAGAAGTCATGGATGCTTGAGAATTCCAAAAGCATGTTAGCTTCTTAAGATCTGACTTTTATTTTGGGACTTGGTCTTTGATATTGCTTCCTCGTGTGATTTCTAGCATATTTAGTTATTAAGTAAAAGGGCAATCGAGAACTCAAAATTTGCTCTCTTCTACGTTTGCCCCTTTTGAAACCAATGGCTGCGCAATAACGCATGCACATTTGGGTTTCAATTTCATTTCTTCGTGTAATCTTTAGAGGGATCCGAAATGTATAGATCTAGTACAGTTTCAAATTAATTGCTCAGGCATCAGAATTTAGATAAACCTAGTTTGAAGAGACAAGGGTTTGTTTTCTTTAAAGACGGTAAATCAGCACCATCTAAAAATAATATCTAAATTTTATTTTGTTGAGATGAAAGAAGGCCCCCCCTGTATACATGTGCGGCAAGAAAGTAAGAGAGAGGAGGAAACGAGAGAGCGTGAGGACGTCAGAACGCCCTGCTCTGGTTAGAACCATTAGTGGGTAGGCCTAAAAATAGCTGCCCCTGACGCCACTGCACTCGCCAAACGCTTTAGAACTCGGAACGCCAACTTCTGGTTGTCTCCACAGCGCTTGTCGAACGAGTTAAAATACGAAACTTCGGCGGTCCTCCGTTTGGGTCTTGCATTCGAATGCGTTTGACGAGCACAGTGGAGACAAAAGCCGACAGGCTTGCTTTAGGCCTACCCACTCATCATTCGAATTAGAACTTGCCGTTTTCGTCTGCTCCTCCCTTTTTGTGAATTTTTCGGCGCTGAGCTACTACCTTAAGTTGCTACCCTATTAAGAAATCCACTAGATGTATGATTTTACGGAAATCGTAAAATAAACGCGATACAACGTTCAAACTCAAATTCAAAATAGTTTATTTTGCCACAAACATTATTGTTTGTGGCAAACAAATAATATTGCTTATTGTTTTGGATTAGAAAAACCCTAAATGTATTGGGCCCCCGAATTATCCAAATGTAACTAGCGCCAATAACCCCATGCGTTATTCCGATAACGTTTTTATTGTATAGTATTATGTGAATTGGACATCCAATAAACAGACGTAATTGTATAAGGTTCCTCAAGAAAAAAATATGTTTGTCTTTAAATACGTACAGGAAAAAGGTGCCCTGGATGAGCGTGTGTCCCATTCGAAACCCTGCGGCTGCGAACTCGTTAACCATCGTGGCGTCGACCGTCTTGTCGTACGTCGTGAATCCCGAGGTCTTGGGCGTGAGTTGATACTGGGACATTAAGCCCGGCCCCAGGACGATCGGCAGCCACTCATTGTAGACGATGTGCGCAAACTGCGACTCCACGATCCGTCTGCAAGTTGAGACAAAAAATAATTCAGTTCTCATTTAAATGGGGGAACAAAATACCCAAGACGGGTGTGGACCTCCCTTACGTACTTTCGGACTCTAATGGCCTTTACAAAAAAAAATATATTAATGGATATCTCAACGTTCTACACACATCAAGGTAAAATCTCCTGTCGTATTTTTTTTTTTTTTGTCCATGCCACTTGTATAGAGGCCACGCTTGCACCAGTTTGCGGCAGAATAATAGTCCGCCAGGTCCCAGTGGAAGTGGGAGGAACCGTGGCAGGCCAGGGGAAACATGTTCGAAGGGTGCGCCACCCAGCTAGCGGCTTTGCGACGAACCACCTCCTTTATCTTTTTTTTTGTATTTTGTAGAAGAAACAAGCAAAATAACAAAACGCAATCGTTTTGCACTATACCTCCCGGGCTTACCCTCCCCTCCTAATGGGAGCCAGATGAAAAGCCGGGGGACATTGAAACGAAAGTAAGTCGTAGGTAGCGAGGTGTGACGATAGTAAAGCTTAAGAAATTTAAAGAAAAAAATAGTGGAGAATCTCGCAATGTGTTTGCAAGCAACTGAGATAAGCGAGGGAGCCATCATTTCAATACCCTCTTTCTGTTATGCTTCTGTCGTTCTGTCTCTCCCACTTTTTGCGGCCGGTTCTGGAGTGGATGTCGCAGGCTTTCCTCGCTATAGAAGGATATGCTAGTGTTAGGTGATCAATCCGAAGACTCATTGCGACAATACAATTAGCAAAGTACCGGTCAGTCGTGCTATCAGACAACGACGATAGTGCAGCCGATTGGAATAGCTTGGCATCAATAGTACAGTTGACAACGCTGTTGAACGTTCTACAATGGGATAGAGAGTCCCAAGAAATAGAATCCGGCACTTTTTAATGAAAGGGCGTCTTAAGTGTCTTTTAATTACGAAATCCGAGACGATCTGCTGGGTTCATATTAAGATGTTCTGGTATCGGAGGCTTCCCTTATATGAGATCATCGTAACGACGTTAAGCAGTTTTTGCTTCTAAGGCTAAGGCCGAGGTCATACGGCGGCGTACCTGAAGTATGCCGCAGTGAGCTATTGAGGCATGAGTTTACGCACAAGTCATGTCAGAGTTGCCGCACGACTTTAGCTCACGGAACATTCTAATAAATCCGGTGGGCTTACTCTCTCGCAAAGCAGCTGGGAGTGCCGACCATTTCAATCTACGGAGGCAGCTCAGCAATGACGGGGCTAAAATCATTCATTGATCCTAAAAAAAGCCTTTGATGTGATATTGAGCACTGCGTTTTACGTAATTACATGATGCGACTCATATTCAGTGTTATACCGGATAATTTTTTTAACGTAAAATGTTTTTTTTTAGTTAGTTGTTCGGCATTTCGTGAAGCCAAAAACTGAAGTCTGGATAAAAGCGTGGCCACGAGGGTCGACACTGATCGGTTGACGGGTTCACCCAAAAGTGGAGCCTAGCATCACAAACGTTTTGCACGTTTGTGATTCTACAACGCTTACGTATGCAACCCGATTGCCTAGCAGCTTGCCATATTTTTATGCAAAAATATATTTTTAGCTTAGTCTTTCGCCGCGCTTGTTTATTATGGTTAGACTCCGAAGCGACAGCGACACTCAAGCTAGCTCGTACTCTTTTTTTTTTTATGCGAAAACATTAACTCTCCTATGGAGCGAGCCGACGTTATCAGCTTTGAAGCCGCGCCAAACGGTAGCTAAATTCCCCTGTCCCAAAGAAGCGAAGTGAAGACGCGATCTGAAGGCTCCCAGCCTTGAAGCCGCGCAAAACGGCAGCTAAATGCACCCCTCCAAGAGGAGCGATGTGAAGCCGAGAGTTGACGGACAGGCTTTCATTGGCTGGCGGGCGTCCTAGTTTCAAAAGACGAGGCTCCCATCGGCCGGCACGCGTCAGTTTCAAGGAGCGCCACCCGATGGCGCTGCACCCCCCGCGCCGCAGCGCGCCGGTAAAAGCAAGCGGCTGGCTTCGTGGCTGGCGGGGCCTCCTTGAGACCGCTCGGGCAGACTGCGGAGCGGCTGCACGGCCGATGTCAGCGCGGCGCAGGCATTCACGAGAGCGCGCGCAAGAACAACATTTATGATTTCACATTCACAACTCATACGAAGTGCTTAGGTGTACCTCGAGCCTTTTTGTCAGGGATTCTAGCACTAATCGCCAGAATAGCGACATCTAACGACGTGATAGTGCGGCTTTTGTGACGTCATTCGTTGCCACTTCAGGACCACCTTTTGATGTGTGGCTGGGATAGGACGCTAAAACACACCAGTCGGTGGCTGGGATCGGACGCTAAAACACACGTCGGCGAGGCGTTCCCTGCACCGTATAGTAGAACCAAGTCCGCATACTTTGATGCTTGAAAGAGTGTCTCGTCGCTCAAATTGGGATTGAAGCCCCTGAAGGTGTCGGCGAGGAGGTTGTGTTGCCGGAGCCAGACGGTGTGTATGGAGGTAAGGCCTGGGTGCTCGTTTGCGCGTTCGTCGCCTGAGAACAAAGAGGGTTATTATAAACACCTGTGCTTGGAAGCAAACCTTCTCCAAGTGTCTCAACGCAATGTTTTTTTGTTTTTTCTTCATTAGCGAGGCTTAGTTAGTTTAGGTCTCCAAAATAGCGTATTTTATCGGAAAATCGGCTGCCGCTCTCAGGCATCAAGTAGATTACTTCTAAGACTCTTTTCGCCAACTTTGAGAAACATTATTATGTTATATGCACACCCATTCGTTTTTGTTTACATAAAAATATGAAGAGAAAACCGTAGCACGCCTGAAATACTTTGCATTTGAAGCTGCTTAAAATGTAAAAATACAGAGTAAATATTTTCCCAAACATTTATGTAAGCATATGTATGTATAAAACGTACATATCAAAAACACGAAAAGGCAAAGCGCTTAAAGTACCTCACCGGTAATGCGGGGACCTTGAATTAAATTTCCGCTCCGGCAAATGTGTTTTGGCCACTTGGTTTAATTTCTTTATTATTTATTAAGTTCACTTCATCTGCATATTTCTACTCTATTCTTCTTACTTTATTTTCAAAAGAATGTTTAGTTCAGTTTAAAACTCTTTGAAAAATTAATATAATATATATAATCGTCCGTGTCGGGAGTGCCACACCTTAGTTCTATTTCCTTTCTTTTTTTGAACACAAAATGGGACAGATTGCTGTTAACTCCAATGCTCATAAACAAAATGGCAAAAAAATAGTAAACGCGGAAGCTGTTGTATTATTATTTACTCATGCCTTTTTTATAACTGTTCGAACGTCAAGTCATTGCCAGCTTGACGACCACTACATGGCAATTCGCATACCCTTGATCACTTTGGTGTACTGCATGTCTAGCGCACAAGCGAAGCCGCTAACTTAAGAATCAGTAGAGTAGCTTGACTTCAATTGCTACAATACAATATAATACAATACAATCTTTATTTATATCGACCTTGAATGCAATGCAGATAAAGCCCGCATAAGTTAATGGTGCCTTGTGCGTGGGACGCGAGAGGACTTCTGCTTTCTATTGCCCAGTCAACATCAACACCGAAGCATACTAGTTCTATTATATATAGTTGCAAATTCCGGTTCCTTTCTTACCACTAAAAAAAACCTCTCACAATTTATTAGCTTAAGAAAACAATTCCTGGTACGTTCATTTTGATAACATTAGCATTTTCACATGCAAATTTCTGTAATTAACATTTTACAACAAAAACTCTTAGTGTCTTAAAAAGAGAGACGTTATGTTTAGTTGAAAAGGATATTAAATTTGTATTCCAGGATATTTTTTATTTTTTTTTATTATTGGCGGTTTTTGTTTAATTTCCTATTGGTTAGTTACATTTTTTTTAATTTGTGAGTTTTCACCATAGGTAACTCATTTGGAATATTGTTAAATAGCTTAGGAGCATAATAGTTTATTGTTGCTTCTTCATATATTATATTTGTTCGTGGTTTGATACACTCTTAATTGGACTTAATAGTCTTTTCTTTACAATTTCAATTTTGTATTTTTTGCTAACATGTTTGGTGATAATTTAATAGATTATTTAATCGCTAAAACGTAACATTATTAGATCTTTAAAAATGAAAATAGGGAGATCAGCTCCTGCTATTTTGTAACGAATGTTCCTAACTATCCTTTTTTCATTCGATCCTACATTTAGTTGTAAATATTTGGCACACTTTTTGTAAACTATTATTCTAGATTTGGTTATGGATACCTCCAGAAAATTGTAAATCATTTTAAGCATAGGCTGATTAGGTTAAGCAAAAGGTTGATTATAATGGATATTAGCCATTACTGCTCTTAATTTGTTTTACAAATCTTGTCTATACGAACATCCCACGTTACAAGCCTATCTATGTACATGCCTACGCATTTTACATCTGCATATTCTAGAGGAACCCAAGCTCAATTTTTCTGTATTTTTTTTTCATGGGTCTCTAGAGCAATTTATTTGCTGACTACTCTGTCAGCCCTATGAAGACCGGTCGGACTCCTATATTCGAGCTAACTATTCCCCACACTGCATGCAACCTAAGTTCACGATTGCGCGCTGATGCTTTCAAATTACATACCTGCTCTGAAGCAATACTGGTTCTGGCTGGGGTTACTGCAACGATCCATGGTCGGATAGAAACTCCGGGGTAGTAACTCCTTTCCATTTACATATTGATACTTGAGTAGACCTGAAGAAAACCGCGCTGGTTACAACCTGAGAAGCTTCATGCCATTTGTTAGATTCGACGAGGAGTGATTAAATAAACTCGCTTCTGCCGTGCCACGTAGAGAGACCTACGAGGAACCCGATGTCTGGTGGGTGTAGTGCACAACTGACAAAATGGCTGGTCTGATTTGGAATCCGTGTAAGGTAGGTCGGCGTGTGTTGATTAGGTTCTAATCAGCGGAAGGGTGTCGGCCAGCCTGGATTCATCGCACAACGCAGGCTGTATATGGTAACCGATGTATGTTGAAGGCAATAGGGTCTGACTGGACGGAAATGTTTAGAAAAGGACGTGAGGAAACGAAAGATTTTCCGCGACCGGGCAAGACGACAAGCCGCGGAAGGCGGATGGCATCCGCCGTCTCTCCATACAGTATAACGTGCGTCTCAATCCGTATGACGACTTTTTCTAAAGAGCCCTGATGCATTCATGCTTACTTATGTCATATTGCTTTGTTTAACTGTGTTCCTCTTACGGAGGTACATCTTTTCTTAGTTTTAATAAAGGCTCACGAACAGGTTCCATTCGATGATGCCTCACACAACTCTTACAACTATCACAACGCCACTTACAACCCATATGATGTTTTTTTTTTTTTTATATTGTCGAAGTCTTGCTCACCTTGAGTAAGGGTGCGGAGTTTCTGGGTGTCGGAAGCGCTGCTGCCGTAGATTTGAGACCCATCGATATATGACGTCAGAATATCTTGTTGGTCTCTGTAACCTGCGATTTAGAAAACAAAGCCGCATCCAGGTTAGAACAAGAACACCAACTTCAGAGTCGTACAAGCTGCCCAAAATAAACGTTAAAATTTCGTCTTTGCATGACAGTTCAATGTAATATTGTGGTCGCTTCAGAACTGTTTTTTTTTTCGTTGTTGTTGTAATTCCGATATTTCAATCCTAAAGAGACGCTTCCATCATGTGAGTGACCATACCAGCTGAAGAATCAGAGCGTGGCTTATTAAATCAAGCTCCTATTGCCTCGTGATTTGTTCTTGGGCGTTAGTATCCGTTGATGTGGCAATCGCATCAGCTTCAAATCGATAATATGACGTCCGGCTCTCATCATGCCCGACGTTTCTCAAGCTGCCTGAAAAGGCAGTCTAAACATTAACTGCGTCTTCTTTCCCGCAGAAATGTTGAAACCTAAAGAAACAGTTTTGCGCTCTGGCACTGATCATGTAAAAAACGTCGTGCTCGGTGCCATACCTCACACTACACTTTGTTTAGGTCTACACATATTTACAATGTCATCGTTCGTCGGATCTCCCTCGGGAAATTTGAGCGACTAGCTGTCCTAAGTGACTCGTGCAGAAGCAGGCACACCGGAATTCTTAGAGTGACAACTTAAGAAGCGTAGAGCGTGGCAAGTCCAAAACATGTTATTAAAAGGCTACATGGTCTGAGATTGGGACGTAAGACAATAAAAACTGCGAAGGAACGAATCATTCAGCAAGGAGCCTAAACAAGCTAAGGCACGCTCTGAGTTTCTGAAGACGTCGGACATTCGTGTAGTTTTTCATCTTTAGGTCAGAGAGACTTGCCCAGGTTGCAGCGGCTGCAGGGTGCCGATCTAGGCAGGTTCATGCACGTCTGGTGCAGCGGAGCAAAGAACGGGTCGGTAGTCGGGATGTCGATTGAAAAGCATTCCGGCGTGTTTCGGGTGCTCGCAGAGCAGCAGTCGATCGGGTTGTTGGGATCTGGAGATAATGATGGCAGTGTTAGTAGGGTCCATATCACAAGAGCGAATGACATTTTAGCGAACGGCGACATTTGAGCGAATGGTCGTTTTAGCGAATAACGGGGGCGCGCGTTTACCCATCCGTCGAGCTGCGCTTTACGCCGCTTCGCGGCGACAGTCTGCGGCAACTCATTACAAAAATATGAACTCACTAGGCCCACCCGAAAACGCCGCTTCGCGGCGTCCGACTATTCGCTAAAGTGTCGTTCGATGAAACGTGGGCGTTCGCTAAAACGTCATTCGATCAAGTGAGTGCCTCCCGTGTTAGTAACTATAGTGTGTGATAGGACGCTCTGCACATAATAGTATCAATGGCCCTCATAAGTGCGCGATCGCTTGAGCCCGGGACAGTGGAAAAACGCTCGAAAACTACGTCTATATGATGGTAGCTATTAGCACAAACAGAAGCAACCCGGAAAGAAAAATTATTTTATATCACAATGTATCACATCAAAGAGAGTTTATAAAATAGGTCCCTAGTTCAATTTCTGCTTTTCGTCCTTGAAAGAAGTTGGATAATGCTTGGGAAACGTTATTGGTACAATGGAACATATTATTTCCACAGAAGTTCGACATGATTTGCATAAACTAAAAAAAAGGGTTTCCGAATGTTGGATGCACCCTGGTGTTTAAAATCACTATGTATTCTAATGTTTAACTGTAACGATATTTTTTTTTAATTCATCCATTCGAAATGTTGAAAGACAAGTAATGTCCTGAGCTTAATCCAGTATAGTGCATTTTGAACCAAAGGTAATACGATTTCACATTTTGTAAATTATATTTGTAACTTCGTTTTTTTTTTCAACATGACAGGTGTTATGCATATTTGCATAAACTCTGAAGCATCTCTCAACAGTTCCTAGTCTTTAAAAAAATACAACATACAAAAGATCACATAGAGACTATTGATCCGCGGTTGCTGCCCGGCTGAAGACGATTGTGTAGGTCGGCCTTTAAGCAGTCAGTGAGTAACGATAGCTAATGAGCACACTCACTTCCCAAGTTGATGATTTCTCCAGGGTTCGGTTCGAGGGGCGCAAGCGCGATGTCGTGGTCGATGAACTGTCCGATCTGCATCACCATGTGAGTGAAGCTGGTTGCCGGCATGTCCATGTCTGGATGCACCGTGTACGAGATGTACCTGGCGTTTGGAAGCGGGTCTCCACTCTGAGCCACCCTGGGCTTGCTTATACCTGTGGTGAGAAGGCACACGGCCGAGGCTCAACTTCCAGTTCCCCAAACAACCGCACTGGTTGAAATGCCTGAGGGTTAAACACTGGGCGGCGAGATTCGCAGTATCGAAGGTTTTTATGCCCTGTAACCACGAACATTTTATGAAATGTAGGGCATAGCGCACACTCCACTGCTTAAAGGTTTGCTGAACCGAACATTTCAGTGATGTTTCCACGAGCCAGCAGCAGCCGGTGTGCGAGAGCAGAGGCAACAACATTGACGTCATGATACTCCATGCACGCTTCAGATGACAGTCAAATGCACGGACTCCGGGCAAAAACAGAATAAAAACTTTTTTTATTATTATTTCACACGCGAGAGCTACGAGCTTTTTAGGCGAACTCATCGCCTACCTTTAACACCCGACTCAACTGTGTAGATGAAAACCCTATATTTATATCGCTTTTACCAAGAGCCCACATATTTCACTGTTATCTTAAGCGTGAATGGAGGATCATGACATCAATCTCGTTGTGCGTGCTTTCGCACACCGGAGGTTGTTGGCTAGTGGAAAGATTCTGCGTCATCTATTATGGGCACTGAAATATTTGGTTCAACATTGCTTTAAGCTTCCTGTCACTGACTTTAGTGTCTACGCACTAACGGAAACAGGTACCTTGTTTTCCGAACCACAATGCGTGGACAATGCTTGAACGTTGAATCTTTACGCTGTGCGCACTACCTTAGGACTATTCAGTGATTTATTTTGTATTTTCTAGGTACTTTATGATGACGAGATGTGACCGATATTGTGAATGGCAGAGAAAGTTAATAATGATTTTTATACGATTTAAGTTTCTTCGTGAACTATTCAAGCAGGTATTTTCTCAGAGTGCGCTGTGTATGCGCTTTTTCTTTCTCTTTTTTTTTTGTTTACGCGCGGACTATGCATTAGGTGGGGACTATATAAGGCGAAGCTTCTTTCATCTGAAATTTGCCCCAGCAGGCTATGCAACGGCTGCGGGCTGTAGTCCGAAAAATACTGTAACTGCCAGTTCTAACCATGGAGCAGCAGCCCTTCGGAGAACCCAGGCAATCATCTGCAGTACCGGTTTTGGTAACTGTTTTCTTCCGCTCTTTCTATCGCTGCCAGGTTTAAGAGTAAGCTAAAAGCAAGGTATACCTCAGATATGTCTCTAAACAGTGTTTGCTCAACGATTTCTTGTTTTGACTATCACAGCGGACGCCACGAGCCATCCCAGCCAACCCAGGGTTGCGAACGAATCTCGTGACTACGCAGGGGGCGCGTTGACACGAGATTCAGACCGGATTGGATTAGTTTCGATGGCTTCTTACTTAAACAAAAACTATATTAATACGTATGGTATACGATACGGAACGGTATAGGTTCACTCGAACAAAGCAATATTCGTCCATCGTAGCGTCTCAATAGCGTACTCTGAGGCCCATTGTAATAGGCCTGCAAACAAACTAACAGCTAAAGGTCATTAGTTTGTCTGCAGGCGAGATTTGCGCAAATTTCCTTCAGCATTTATGCTTTTTGACCCTATCTAGAGTTCGACTGTGTGTTTATGCATTTTTAAACGCGATAGAGTTTCTTTCGGCAGCCTCCCGGGTAGCAGCCCGAATATCACGCCTGAATGGGTGGGTGGAAGTCACGACAGCGTCCTTTATAACGAACAGTAGCTCGCGCCCCCTATATCCTGAAAACCAAAACGCACGATCCCTCCCCAACGACCTAGTAAACCAATTTTTAATTCCCTTCTTCAGTTTGTAACTATCGCCAGGCAGTATTGGATATCGCCAACGCAAATTATCGTCACCAGGCAAAACAAAATAAGATAAGAACACACGATCCCCCAAAAGTGCAGAGCGAGGGTTCCGCTTGCGATTCACCATCGGGTACTCACCGTCCTGGTAGGCTGGCTTCTGCAGCCTGTTCATGCAGGAGCCCGCGCTACCCCAGCCTGGGTTCTGCAGGTTGTTGCACGTTCCGTCGGGTTCCCTGTAGCGCTTACTTGCGTTGCACTTCACGTTGAGGGGCGGGCAGGTGGCCGCCAGAGCCGTCCCGTCGATACTAACGTTTTGGAGATCCACGGCGTCTTGTCTGGCTTCCACTAAGCCGCCGTCGCCACTGCAGGTCGTAATGAAGATGAGAGATTGTTACGGCAAGTGGTTACTTCCAACGCATTTTGTATTGAGAACTATTTTTTAAACCGTGCAGTCTTCATTTGGACATTCACCAGGAAGACTGAAGTACCCGTATTTAAGCATGGGATGCCTTCTAAGAAAACCTGCTAATCTAACATTTGTCCGTTCGTCCTCGCATTTACTCGCCCAATTTAGTGGGGAAATTGACGTCATATAATCTGATGTGACGTCGCCTAACGCCAATTCAGTTTCCGCGCTAGATTCGTCCGGGGAACGGAGGTCATGTGTCCTATACATCAATTATTTTTCCCAGTCCAATTTCTCGGGGAAATGTACACCATGTGAGCTATACCCCAATTCGCTTTCCCCGCTAAATTTAGCGAGGATATAAATGCAACATGACCTATGCAGCTATTTAGTTTGTCGTCTAAATGTGGCGGGAAAACTGGCGTCGCTCGACCTATGCAGTAATTAAGTATTGCAGTTTAATTTAGCGCGGAGAGAATGGTGCCCAGGCTGGTGCCCCGGCTGGTGCCCCTAGCGCACAAAGACTTTCAGCATGTGGGCCAAGCTTACTTTCGGAAGCTGGCAGTCGCGCGTCCTCCTCTCCCCCACACAGTTACGCGTCATGAAATGTACTTGAATTCTGGCATGAATCAACATCCGTGTCCCATTCAATCGGAATGATACTTGTACCGACGTACGGTTGTGTACCACTAGTGTGTGATGCACGTATAAGAGCCAAGTTTAGTAGTCGTACTGCACCGTCTCTCTATTCCTCAACTGTAGCGGAAACCTGAGACACCCCTTGAGGCAGAAAGCCTAATCCCACTGCCTAAACATACGTGCAACGGAAATACTTTTAAAGGCGCCCTAAACGCCTTTAAAGAAAAAAACAACTGAACATTTGTTTTGCAGCTAGAAGTGCTTTAAACGGAACCGTCTATCTCAACATTGCGTCCGTCCGTTTTTCCAAACGTCCGTTAGTCCGTGCGCCCTTCCATCCGTCCTTCTACCCGTCCATCCGTGGATTTCCCGGTAAATTTAGCGGGGAAGCTTAATTAGTGTTTAGGCACGTGACATTTATTGATGTCACGTGACCGTCACGTGACCTGACATCACGTGACACCGATTCAGTTTCCCTGCTACATTAAGCGGGTAAATTGACGTAATGCGACCTGACGTGACTTGTCCTGTACACCTTTCAACTTGCCCGCTTTAAATTTAGCGGGAAATCTATGTCACGTGACCTGGCGTCACGTGGCCTATGCACCAACGAAGCTTCCCCTTAAAATTTGGCGGGAAAATTGACGTAACGTGACGACGTCTTTTGACCTCTACAGAACTTCACTTCCCCCGCTAAATTTGACGGAGTAATCGATGTCAGGTGACCTAAACACTTTCATTTTCCACAAAAAATTTAAGGGTGAAATTGACCTTACGTGAATTGGTAACTCTTGACGCACCGATACAGATTTCCCCCACTAAATACACCAGAATAAAATTATGTGATGTGTCATTACACCAATCAGTTGTCCCGCTAAACTTAGCGGAAAAATTGACGGCACTTTTATTTATTCATTTATTTTAATACCTTGAAAACCCCCTTGGGACTATAACATAAGGCGTGGGTAGAAAACCCCAAAAAACGGGCGGCAAAAACGCACCGAAAAAAAGCGCACGCCATAAGACCGGAGAAATTAAAAGCCATAAAGGTTCTTTTTCACTCCCCAAAACGCTCGAAATGGCTGTATGATGTCTTCTAATCAACGTTAATAATGTTAAAGGTTGCACCTTAAATACTGCCTTTCATGCACTAAAGTCCTTTGGAGATAATGATCGCTCCCAATTGTATGTGGATAGCCAGTAATTGTACCATATTTCGAATGTGAATAAGAGTAATTTTGAGTGCGATTCTTTTTATTTTTTTTATTTATGCCGAAATTAAGGGACGCCACACGGCCCACCATTTGGGAGAAAGCTTTACCACGTGCAAGAGCGACCATCGGGGACCCCACACCTGCGGTTTTGGTCAGCGCGCTTACCACAGCCAGCGCTTTTACAGCTGCATGCATGCGGCGCTCAGGTTGATTCAGTCCGCTTGTTCGAGCGTTTGTTGTGTTCTTTTTCTCAATAAGAGCAGCTGTTAGCGAGGCTGGGGTCAATGTTCAACTATAGGAGGGGAAAAGGGGGAGGGGGGGAGAGCTTGGATATTTTTTTTTTTTGGGGGGGGGGTGCTTATGTTTCTAGGATGTTCGAGGTTATCCAAATCGCCGTAACTCACGGGTTGTGAGTTCGAGGCTGGGTTCCGCATTTATAGGCCATCCGCCACGCTTTCCCAAACTCTTCAGATATTTTGTTGAAGGTCCCGCTATAGTGCCACGTGCAACATTCAAAGTCAGAGGTCAGGTTGGACTGCAGATGTATAGACAACGTGAGTTTAGGGTGACTTCAAAGAATGTCGACATTTGAGAAATTTATCCAGTACTGTGAGACTGCTAGCGTGGCCGCTCTTTAACGTGAATGACGCAGGCAGTAGTAATACGAGACTGAACACAGGTGCGATACTCGTCCAGATCCAAGCGAGCAGGGGTGGGGCGCGTCAAGCGGCTATCCCACAATGTTCGAAATCAAATCAAAATTAGTTTTATTTAAAAACAAAGCCGACGTACAGTTGTTTAAAAGTTGTCATAAAAGGCATAGGAATGCCTGACAATTCGGTCAGCCCCCCTCCCCCGCCCCTTTCACCCCGCTACATGATTCAGCTAGCCCACAAAAAGGTACAAAGAGAACGTTTAGTAAGGAAAGAAAAATACGTGATCGGGACGAACCAAAAAGCAAAATGCGCAGCAAGGAAACACAAGCGCTGTGTAAAAAGGAAGAAACCATATAAATTAAACAGGCAGTCACCAATGAAGCGATAAAGCAAACATCCGGGTGACGGCTGTGAAGACTAACACATTTCGCGAGCCTTGCAAAACTCAAATTCCAAACGTACGTATCTAAAATTAGGCATGACAACGTATTCTTGCAGGAAGCTTTGCACTTTGGTCTGTGAGCTGGTAATTGTTTATATATTTCGTTAAAAGTGTTATTGGTCGCGATTATGTTGCTCATCGCCAGCTTCTGCAATTGGTTTTTTAGCGTTTTTACGTTCAACAAGCACCCCGAGAGCGAGCTTGTAAACCAGTGTGCAGATGACAAACAGGCTTGTATAGGACACATAAAATGCACGACCCAAAATTTTGCTTTATTTTTATTGCTTCACTACCTCAGATTTTACCTGTAAAAAGCAGAGACATAGAACTTCTGACGAAACTAAGTTCGCGTGCCCAATTTCAACTATCTACGTTTAGAATTGGAATTTCGCACGGCGTGCCAGATATGTTAGTCATTCCGGTCGCTCCTTGAGGAAGAGGGTGCTATAATATTCAAATTAATAAAAACAATTTTATATTTTTCTATAAAAATTATTAATTAGAAATTTAAAAAAAAAAAAAAACTCTACCCTTGATTAAAATATACGATGTCGTGTAGTTTCCTGGGAACAAGAAACTGCACCTTGTGTAGGGCCAGCATTTATTTCTTTTTTTGTGCAGGTTGTAAGAATATTATTGTTTCTGCTTAGTATTTTACAGCACAAAAGGAAACAAATCACTCGTGCGAGAACTTGATAAGGAAATAACGGGAATAAAGCACCGCATTAAACCTGGGGTTTGGGATCGTTGCTCCATATGTTATTCGATTTTTTTTAAAAAGACTGCGTCTTTGTATCTTCGTTGTCCTCGTTGTGTCCGCGCTTCTTAACATTTTCATAAAACGCCCTTTAAGCAATTCACCTGCGCATCAGCTCCTTGGTGGTTTCTTCGAAAAGTCTGGCCACCTCTGCGTTCTGCACAGCTTCTTTGGTCGCCCTACGACTGTGTAGGTGGCGCTGCGAGGAAAATGGGCACCCGGCTTGCTGGACCACACCTGCAACACGACGCAAGTGGTTCATTATTACCTTTCTTCGTAAAGCAGAAAAATAAACGCTTTAAATTAGGTTTGACCGCGTCCACCACAACGCTCTGTTGGAGCCAACCAAGCAGTACCGAAAGGGCATCGTCAATTACGTACTTATTTGCAATACTTCAGCAGGGGCCCAATAAATCCGAACTAACCTATCAAAAATACATTGTAAAAATCGGCGCTACGAGTTTTCTTTTGTTTTTAATTATTACTCATATACGAGGAGAAACTAACGAGTGTTTCATAGGTTATAAATGGCAGAAAGTCATCCTAAATGGTATTTACGCAAAGTACAAAAATTGTTATAGGGCACACCAAACAGGAAAATATGAGATACCTTATATGTACTGTCAGGAACCAATGTACGTTCCTACAAACTCGATAAATTTTCTTTCGAAAATGGCGCGATAGTTTCGTGGATATATCGGTTTCAATACTAAAACCTCGGATCGATTCCCATTCGAAAAGGCTGCCGTCTTTTTTAGGTCCATGACGTCATCTGCCCAACGCGCGGCGTTCCCTGACACGCACTCGCACACTTGGCTCTTTCTCTCTCTCGGCGTCTCGCGCTTCAGCTTCCACGTTTACTTCCGCGTCTCGAGCACGCGGTTTCGAGACGGTGTCGTCTACGGCATCGCTCCCTCCGTGGGGATCTTGGACATCGATAGCAGCAGCGATGAGAGTTATTATAGCCTCCTCTATACTCACAAAGCCTGGCAGTTCGACGATGGAGCCATAGAGTACCCGGTCGCAGATTTGGAGCGCGAGGATCTGGTAGCACGGAGCATCAAAGAGCCATTTCTCGGGGAACCTGGACGTCAGCGCACAGCTTTTGCAGCGGCGAGGACCCGAAACACTCTTGTTCGCTCGAGAGAACTGTTTTGGCGTCTCGCTGCAGCGGGGAGCAAGTCACGTGGCTCCACCTCTCATCCGGGTTCTGCCGCTCCACCTTTTCGATTTCGGCGGCCG